TCGACCCGAAACCTTGAAGATTGACATCTACAAGTATAGGGGAGTCGAAGAGGACTCCCTCTTGAGATGGTTCGTCGAATTGGATGACGCCATAAGGGTGCGTCGCATCGACGATGGGCAATGCAAGTATCCTTTGCCCAGTCAAATCTGGCAGGACGTGACAAGACTTGGGCTTTGGGACTCAAGTTGCACGACCCATATGCGTTTGGGTCGTTGGAAGTCTTCAAGTCGCGGCTCATACAAACGTTTGAACCGCCTAGAGCTGAGTTCAGAGCTCGAACCGAACTCTTGAAGCTCAAGCAGGGTAAGCGTGATGTGCACGCTTACGCGCAACATATACGACATCTCACGAGTTGTATAAGTTCCAATCCGGTTGATGAACACACGTTGGTTTCGGTGTTCATGCAGGGTCTTGCGGATGGTCCCGCCAAGACTCACCTGTTCCGACTTGAGCTCGATTCACTAGAACAAGCCATTTCCATTGCGGAACAGGAAGATTTCAGTCTGAGACAGGCTCGCGCCAGCTCGACATCATATCGTCAACCGAGACGGTATGACAACGGAGGTCCAGAGCCGATGGAACTCTATTATGTAGAGAGCGAGAAGGCTCGCTCTACAGGCTACAAAAAGTTGCAGAGATGCAACAGATGTCAAAAGACAGGACACTACGCTTACGAGTGTAGTGCCCCTCGTCCAGTGTCTCGCGACACTGGGCGTAGTGACCGTCCACCCATGAGAAAGGGGAAGGGACGAGGGTCCGCAGTTGGTGCAAAGACGCAACAACGGGATGGACCGTCAAAAAACGGACAGGATCAGTAGGTGCGGAGCACCCTACTGATCCAGCAACGTCAAGAGAATTTGTAGGCCTCTTGATGAAGGTTGCTCCCAACACACAGACGTTGTGCGTTGCTGCTCTAGGTAATGAGATCTCACTCATTACGTTGAAACTCGAAGTGACAAATAAGTTTTCCCTTCGAACTCTAGTCGATTGTGGGGCGTCCAACAATTTTGTGCGACGCCAATCGCTAGCAGATGGTCACTTCAAGTTTGTTGAATGTGACACACCTCCTACTAGGATGACGGTACGTCTTGCGACAGGCGCATCCGTAACCGTCACGAAGCGCATAGTGAAGATCCACTATACGCTAGAAGATACCCAATATGACGATGACTTTATCGTATTGGATTTGGATGACAAATTTGATGTCATCCTTGGAATACCGTGGCTCAGAAGGTACGAACCACGGGTAAACTGGCAACATCGGACAGTAACGATGCCTGCCGCTTGTTCATCAGATGGCCATCTGATGAACGTTTTGGAGCGTCCACAAGCGTGTGGATGTACTACGAGTGAGTGCGATAGCCCCACTTGTGGTACGGTCGTCAGTACGACTGCACAAAACCTTAGTGTAACAAACGGTTACACTTCGGCGCAAGCTTCCGGCGGCTGTGAGAAAACGCAGGCTGCGCCGAAGGTCCACCGCTCGAATAAGTCAAGTGGATCGGGACAAAGATGTATCCCTAGAGGGGAACATCTAGAAGAGAAACAATCGATCGCTCAGGTTAAGCGAAACGATAATCCTAGATCGACTGGAGAGTTTTTCGTAGAGGATCTCGCTGTGGTTGCGCAACCAGAGCTAGAGGAAATTAAGGGAATAAGTCCCGATATTACAAATACGGCGGAAATAAGTTCCCCGAACCCCGAGGGAGTAAGTCCCCGGGAAGCCGAAGGAATACGTCCTTCGAGGCCTGAGGGAATAAGTCCCCAGGAAATGACAGAGACATTGAATGTCCTACTCAATGACGGATCAAGTGTAAGCGCTTATACACTTGATCTGATTGCGCCTCCGAAGTTGACTTCGGAGACCACTCAGTTGCCAACGCTCGAACATAAAAGGTTCTTGCGTGATCTTAGTAGTGGCAAAGTCAAGCAGATATGCGTACTCGTCGCTGACGACGAGTATGTAGCCGACATAAGGTCAGCAACAATGTTTACTGAGAACGAGAGAGTTCTCAGTAGTTCATCGATGGACGAGAGCGTCCTCGATGAAAAGACACGGGTTGAGCGATATGAATCCCAATCGTGGGAATCGCTCAAGACAAATCCTCTCTATAAAAATTTGGTTGAATTCAAGGATGTATTCCCTGAAACTGTTCCGTGCGAGTTACCGAAGGATGAAGGTACTCGACACGAGGTCGAGCTTAAACCAGGCTCGAAGTACTGTGTCATGAAGCAGTGGCCACTGCCTCGTGAACAAGTGCTTGCGATCGACAAGTTCTTTGCCGATCGTTTAGCTGCGGGCCATGTGAGGGAATCAACTTCCCCGCATAGCTCTCCGACCTTCTGTGTGCGAAAAGAAACAGGAAGGTGGCGGATAGTGCATGCATTTAACAAGTTGAATGCTACAATGGTACCGGATCAGACGCCGATACCGAGGAAGGACGTAATCATTGATGGCATGTCAAAGAGTACCATCTTTTCGTCCATGGATTTGATGGATGGCTTCTATCAAATCCTTATGCGAGAATGGGATATACCCTATACCGCAAGCGGCATGCTCTGGGAATGGCTAGTAATGCCACAAGGGCTTAGTAATGCCCCTGCCACGTTCAACAGATGTGTATCACATCTGTTGAGACCAGTACGAGAATTCGCGCCGAGTTATTTTGATGACGTATTCATCCATAGTCGGGCTATGGATGGAAAGTCGGACGTTGAGGTTCACAGATACCACGTCCGACAGGTCCTTACAATCATGCGAAAGCATCAATTGTATGCAAACCTCAAGAAGTGTATATTTGCAGCAAGCGAAATACCACTTCTTGGGTGCATCGTTGGTAAGAACGGTGTACGTCCTGACCCCGAAAAGATCAAGGCGATCACCGACTGGCCTGTGCCAGTTGATGTCAAAGGCCTTCGAAAATTCCTTGGGCTAGCGGCGCATTTGCACAAGTATTCACGCAATTACGCCGAGATGACTGTGCACCTCTCTCGTTTGTTGAAAAAGAACGAGAGGTGGTTATGGAACGCTGAATGTCAGCGCTCCTTTGATGGTATCAAGCAGAGCTTGATACAATCCCCAGTCCTAGCAATTGCCGATCAGGACAGGCCATTCCATATGGTCTGTGATGCCAGCGATTTCGCAATCGGCTGTGCATTAATGCAGTACGATCTTGAAGGCGTTGAACGCGTCGTCTGCTATCAGTCGCGTCAGCTGTAACCAGCTGAGCAGAACTATCCAGTGCATGACAAAGAACTCCTTGCCATGAAGTATGCACTCGCGAAGTTCAGAGTGTATCTATTAGGAGATAGACTCTTCATTGTTTACACTGACCATGCGTCATTACGCACGGCAGTGAACAGCCCGCACCTTTCACAACGAATGGCGCGGTGGTTGTCATTCTTTGCAGAATACAACTTTACGGTCGAGTACAAACCAGGACGACTTAATGTCGTCGCTGATGCACTCTCACGTCGTCCCGACTTTGAAACAGTCGCGAAACCCAACAGTGAGACAGTCACTGTTGCGGTTATGACGTCCTCAGTTCCATCTACAACGTTGTATGATGATGTGAGGCGGGCATACGCCCAAGATGGTGAGATAGTGAAGTTGTTGTCACATCTCTCCCAACCATCTCGAGAATCCTTGAAACGATTGTCGTCTGCGTATCGATCTGCATCACATCGATACACTACTCGTAACGGTTTACTGTACTATACAGCCGTTTCTGGTGACACACCACGTGTTGTCATTCCTGATGATACTGATCTGCGTTTGCGGATCATGTTCGAGTATCACGATGCTCCTATAGGAGGACATCGTGGCCGAGAGAAAACATATCTCACGGTGAGTCGAGACTTTTGCTGGCCCCGCCAGTATCAGTTTGTACGAAAGTATGTTCGCGCATGCGAAGTCTGTCAACGAGTGAAGTCAAGTCCTTCACTGCGTGCACCTTTACAGCCTCTCCCGGTTCCGGCTGAGTGCTGGGAATCCATCTCAATGGATTTTGTCTTCGGTTAACCCAAACACGCACGCGGGAATACGGGTATTCTCGTATTTGTTGACAGATTCAGCAAAATGGTACACCTTGTGGCTGTACCCGAGTCATTCACAGCAAGTGGCTATGCTTGTGTCTTTATTGACACCATCTTCCGACTTCATGGGTTGCCCCGTGAACCCGTATCAGACAGAGATCCACGCTTCACTGCTGATTTCTGGCGTTCCGTGTTCAAATCACTCGGAACGCGCTTGAAGATGTCGACATCTGATCATCCAGAGTCAGATGGTCAGACGGAACGAGCCAATCGTGTCCTCGAAGAGATACTTCGAGGATACGTACACTCCTTTAAGAGTTGGAGTGAGTTTTTGCCAATGGTAGAGTTTGCCATTAAAAACTCGGTGCATGCGTCCGCGACACATACACCGTTTTACGTGAATGGCTTACGCCATCCGCGTGTACCCACCTTACTAGAGTGTAACTCTGGTCTAAGGGGGGAGGGACTCGCGCGAGCAAAAACCGATTTGGTTCACGCTCATCGCGCTCTGAAGAAGAGGTCATTGCGTTTGATGCCGATATCGATAACATCGATATCGAAGAAGATGATGCCAGTGAGAGTGCGGAAGCCCTCACTACAGAAAAGATTGATGTTGCTGCAGTGCGCTCACAGCACACTGAAGCTAACGAGTCATCAGATGAGTTCATACTGGCTCGTGAAACGGTAGTCCGTTTTGTGCGAGATTCCATCGCCGAAGCGGTGGATAGAAAAAAGCAAAACGCTGACAGGAATGGAAGGGCAAACACTCTTTTATTTAATAAAGGTGACTTAGTCCTACTGTCTACGGTTAATCTACCAAAGCATGTAGTGACTAACTTGGGTAGCAGTAAACTACTACCCAAGTACATCGGCCCATTTCGTGTATTGCACCGCCTAGGCAATGCATACACGATCGAGTTGCCACGTAAGATGCAGACGCATCCCAGGTTTTACGTTTGTCGGCTCAAGCCGTACCATCAGTACGCTGCTTCTTCCGATGAAGAACGCCCTTGCGCTCAAGCATCTCGCAGAGAGCCTTGTGCTCCCGATGGTGGGCATCGACAAGGGTATGAAGAGCAGTTATCTCAGCCCGAGACCGATCAACATTCCCACGAGCTACCCTTAGATCGTCACGCAGAGACGTCAGAGCTCTCTCGCTCTCAAGCTGATCAAAGGCAAACTCAGCTCGATGCTTTGAGATAGTGTCCGACAGTTGGAGACGCCTGTCCCGCTCATGTTCGAGATCGCCGCGTAACCCTTGCGTTACGCGATCAACGAAGCTCTCGGGAACACACGCTTCCCCACGATTGTGTGGAGAGCGTCTTCCCTCCTCCTCCACCTCCATTAGAGAACTCTCGCGGTGGCCAGCGCTATCTGGTTGAGCAGCTGTTGAACCACCGCGACGTGAACGGACGTCGGACGAGTTATCTCGTCCGGTAACGCGGCTATCCTTAGTCCTGGGATTCTTGGGAGCCCCGCTCCCAACTGATGGTTGACGTACTGGGTCTGGTTGAGCAGTACGACACGGCACATCCTGTGCCGCAGAAGGACCGCCGGAGAAAGTCTTCCCGGCACGGTCGTAAAGAGATTTCAGGTTGTCAATCCCTTCGCACGTCTCTCTAGAGATACGTACGCGCCACCACGGGCTATTAGGGAGGTTAGCCTCCTTGGGCGCTCGTGCAGAGTTGTTCACAACATGAGCACGAGTCTCCCCAGGAGAGGCAGGGTAACCCTTTCTCCTTAGACAGACGATGCAGCTTGTAGCGTGTACCTGTCGGGGTTCGCTTTTCAAACTTATCACGAGCTTTGATAAGTTTGTCGTTCCAAACGTCACGACCTACATCCTCAAGGTTATGGATGTAGGCGTTCCACGCTTGAAGCAGTGAGGGACCATCACGTTTGTGATTCCCACTGTACCATCGATGTTTAAAGAAAGCATCGATGCAGAACTCATTCTTAGCGCGATAGTTTTTCGCACTGGGGTCAAGGTGATGGATCCTTGACGAATCGAACAACCGTGTTCGATAACGATCACTCGTCGTCGCCGACAAGTGATCCATGACAGATTTAGGAGGCATCCATGCCTTCTTCTCGGGAGCGAGACGCAACGCACTGTGGTCCCGCTCTTCTTGGACGTGCCGACAGAAGGACTGGCACCTTGTTGCGAAGTGGTGTCAACAGGAGAACCGACACCACTGTTAGCGCCCGAGTCTCGCGACCTCGAGCACCTTCGCTTCGGCGATGGTTCATCTGATTCATCAGATGAACCAAAGATGCTGCGACGCATAGAATCATCCATGCTACGCTTGGCAGGCGGCTTGGCTTCAACCGCTTTCGATACGGATCCGTCTTCCTTATCGGGAGAGTATTAGACACCGAGCTCATACTCTGTGAAGACATGAGTGTCTTCATGACGATCGCCTGCATCACCAGGTGACACAGCCTGAGTCGATTCAGCAACCGATGAGATATCAGTTGCTGTGGTTTCTGCTTCGGCGTCCGCACAGAGACGTGCGGACGCGCTCTCGGCGGCCTTGCTCGCGCACCGCATGGGCTTGTTTACCATGCGATGAGATGTTGGAAAGTGGACTCGGACCAACAAGTGCAAATCCTGTCCCAAATGATTTGGGACAAGTATCCATTAAGTAAATCAGTCACTAAAGTGACTGATGGTTAAGGGGGGGGGTGATGTAACGGGGTGAATCGTTAGATAACAATTTATTAGAAATTGTTAATAGAATATTACTAAAAGAGTTATATTCTCAGAATATTGTCATAAGGACAAATATTCTGCAGCTTTTACGAGTAGTTCCTAATTGGTTGATATAGGCCATTATATCAACCAACGAAGACGCGCCACGACAGACGCACGCAATGAGTGGTGAGCAGATAACTGATTTACACATTTGTATTTAGACATAGTTAGATGAAGATAAATAGGGATTCATCAACAGACATTAACTATGATAAATACAGTTCTACTTTTTACTTTAACCAAGTACTCGCTTCTTCTTACCGTCTTCCTCTGCACGTACGAGTGTACGTGAAGTTACGAGGCACCGCCTTATTCTATCATCAGAATATGTAGCTTGTACTGTCACCAGTACAAGCTTCAGGGTGCCCCGTTACACTGCTGCTCTTAATGATAATTTTAAAAGGAATTGCATGCCTTTTACCCGTTGTTCCCACCAACGTCTGCACCATCGTCAGTGGAGGGGTCTAGATGCGTGAAGTGTATCTATCAGATTGTACATGTCGTGAGTGCGCGAGACCGGACATGTTTTTCTGATGGTCGTGTTGTCTGAAGGTGCTGACGGGGTGATGCTGGCTTATGGTTTCGTTTATGAATAAACTCTCTGTACGTTCGCCACCGTACAGCATTAGTAGTGCGCTGCGTAAGGTTGGCATAAAAGTTGCGTCCTTGCTTTGTGGATGTCGGCTGATGACATGCCATGGAGCCGCTACACGTTCAAGACCGTCGATCACGTGTGTTTCGCAACTGGTGGTGTGATTGACATTCATCTGGGTTATATTTGATTTGATTTTGTGAACGCTGAAGACGTGAATTGACACCGCTGAGAAATATTGGCAGATGATGCGCGCGGACAAGTGCCACAGCTGAGCACGCAGGGACTTGGGTCTAGATACGTGAGTCTGCTGCGGGTGAAACATTTTATGTAACTGGACCTGTCCCGTGACGTAACTATCGCTTTCCGGTATCGCCTTAACAATTTGCAGCCGATCTTGAGAGTCTTTGCTTTGAGGAGAAAGGGTTCAGCATCTCCAATTCTATCGCGAATTAGCAAGGTGGTCGGTGCAACGCTGTTTTGGGCCGTTAAGATAATCCCCAGGTTGCTTGCATTGAAAAAGCAGATGCAATGAGATTACGCTGTCTAGTAGCATGCCAAGATAACTGGAGCCAGTCCATCCATGGGATATCACTGCAGGAACATTTTTACAGCTAGTTTTCAAGTAGCACTACATGTGTCACGAGTCTCCGACAGCAGGCGGAAGGCAGCCGATGTTGTTGTCCACACACACCGTTACTGTAACGGGGCACCCTGAAGCTTGTACTGGTGACAGTACAAGCTACTTATTCTGATGACAGAAAAGGCGGTGCCTCGTAACTTCACGTACACTCGTGCGTGCAGAGGAAGACGGTAAGAAGAAGCGAGTACTCGGTTAGAGTAAAAAGTAGAGGTGTATTTATCATAGTTAATGTCTGCAATAAATCACTATTTATCTTCATCTAACTATGTCTAAATACAAATGTGTAAATCAGTTATCTGCTCACCACTCATTGCGTGCGTCTGTCGTGGCGCGTCTTCGTTGGTTGATATAATGGCCTATATCAACCAATCAGGAACTACTCGTAAGTGCTGCAGAATATTTGTCCTTATGACAATCTTCTGAGAATATAACTCTTATAGTTATATTCTATCAACAATTTCTAATAAATTGTTATCTAACGATTCACCCCGTTACATCACCCCCCCCTTAACCATCAGTCACTTTATTTACTGATTGACTAAATGGATACTCGTCCCAAATCATTTGGGACAGGATTTGCACTTGTTGGTCCGAGTCCACTTTCCAACATCTCATCGCATGGTAAACAAGCCCATGCGGTGCGCGAGCAAGGCCGCCGAGAGCGCGTCCGCACGTCTCTGTGCGGACGCCGAAGCAGAAACCACAGCAACTGATATCTCATCGGTTGTTGAAGCGACTCAGGCTGTGTCACCTGGTGATGCAGGCGATTGTCATGAAGACACTCATGTCTTCACAGAGTATGAGCTCGGTGTCTAATACTCTCCCGATAAGGAAGACGGATCCGTATCGAAAGCGGTTGAAGCCAAGCCGCCTGCCAAGCGTAGCATGGATGATTCTATGCGTCGCAGCATCTTTGGTTCATCTGATGAATCAGATGAACCATCGCCGAAGCGAAGGCGCTCGAGGTCGCGAGACTCGGGCGCTAACAGTGGTGTCGGTTCTCCTGTTGACACCACTTCGCAACAAGGTGCCAGTCCTTCTGTCGGCACGTCCAAGAAGAGCGGGACCACAGTGCGTTGCGTCTCGCTCCCGAGAAGAAGGCATGGATGCCTCCTAAATCTGTCATGGATCACTTGTCGGCGACGACGAGTGATCGTTATCGAACACGGTTGTTCGATTCGTCAAGGATCCATCACCTTGACCCCAGTGCGAAAAACTATCGCGCTAAGAATGAGTTCTGCATCGATGCTTTCTTTAAACATCGATGGTACAGTGGGAATCACAAACGTGATGGTCCCTCACTGCTTCAAGCGTGGAACGCCTACATCCATAACCTTGAGGATGTAGGTCGTGACGTTTGGAACGACAAACTTATCAAAGCTCGTGATAAGTTTGAAAAGCGAACCCCGACAGGTACACGCTACAAGCTGCATCGTCTGTCTAAGGAGAAAGGGTTACCCTGCCTCTCCTGGGGAGACTCGTGCTCATGTTGTGAACAACTCTGCACGAGCGCCCAAGGAGGCTAACCTCCCTAATAGCCCGTGGTGGCGCGTACGTATCTCTAGAGAGACGTGCGAAGGGATTGACAACCTGAAATCTCTTTACGACCGTGCCGGGAAGACTTTCTCCGGCGGTCCTTCTGCGGCACAGGATGTGCCGTGTCGTACTGCTCAACCAGACCCAGTACGTCAACCATCAGTTGGGAGCGGGGCTCCCAAGAATCCCAGGACTAAGGATAGCCGCGTTACCGGACGAGATAACTCGTCCGACGTCCGTTCACGTCGCGGTGGTTCAACAGCTGCTCAACCAGATAGCGCTGGCCACCGCGAGAGTTCTCTAATGGAGGTGGAGGAGGAGGGAAGACGCTCTCCACACAATCGTGGGGAAGCGTGTGTTCCCGAGAGCTTCGTTGATCGCGTAACGCAAGGGTTACGCGGCGATCTCGAACATGAGCGGGACAGGCGTCTCCAACTGTCGGACACTATCTCAAAGCATCGAGCTGAGTTTGCCTTTGATCAGCTTGAGAGCGAGAGAGCTCTGACGTCTCTGCGTGACGATCTAAGGGTAGCTCGTGGGAATGTTGATCGGTCTCGGGCTGAGATAACTGCTCTTCAGACCCTTGTCGATGCCCACCATCGGGAGCACAAGGCTCTCTGCGAGATGCTTGAGCGCAAGGGCGTTCTTCATCGGAAGAAGCAGCGTACTGATGGTACGGCTTAAGCCGACCAACGTAAAACGTGGGATGCGTTCGCATCTTACGTGGCAACTCGATCGTGTATGCATTGCCTAGGCGGTGCAATACACGAAATGGGCCGATGTACTTGGGTAGTAGTTTACTGCTACCCAAGTTAGTCACTACATGCTTTGGTAGATTAACCGTAGACAGTAGGACTAAGTCACCTTTATTAAATAAAAGAGTGTTTGCCCTTCCATTCCTGTCAGCGTTTTGCTTTTTTCTATCCACCGCTTCGGCGATGGAATCTCGCACAAAACGGACTACCGTTTCACGAGCCAGTATGAACTCATCTGATGACTCGTTAGCTTCAGTGTGCTGTGAGCGCACTGCAGCAACATCAATCTTTTCTGTAGTGAGGGCTTCCGCACTCTCACTGGCATCATCTTCTTCGATATCGATGTTATCGATATCGGCATCAAACGCAATGACTTCTTCGTCAGAGCGTGATGAGCGTGAACCAAATCGGTTTTTGCTCGCGCGAGTCCCTCCCCCCCTTAAACCAGAGTTACACTCTAGTAAGGTGGGTACACGCGGATGGCGTAAGCCATTCACGTAAAACGGTGTATGTGTCGCGGACGCATGCACCGAGTTTTTAATGGCAAACTCTACCATTGGCAAAAACTCACTCCAACTCTTAAAGGAGTGTACGTATCCTCGAAGTATCTCTTCGAGGACACGATTGGCTCGTTCCGTCTGACCATCTGACTCTGGATGATCAGATGTTGACATCTTCAAGCGCGTTCCGAGTGATTTGAACACGGAACGCCAGAAATCAGCAGTGAAGCGTGGATCTCTGTCTGATACGGGTTCACGGGGCAACCCATGAAGTCGGAAGATGGTGTCAATAAAGACACAAGCATAGCCACTTGCTGTGAATGACTCGGGTACAGCCACAAGGTGTACCATTTTGCTGAATCTGTCAACAAATACGAGAATACCCGTATTCCCGCGTGCGTGTTTGGGTTAACCGAAGACAAAATCCATTGAGATGGATTCCCAGCACTCAGCCGGAACCGGGAGAGGCTGTAAAGGTGCACGCAGTGAAGGACTTGACTTCACTCGTTAGCAGACTTCGCATGCGCGAACATACTTTCGTACAAACTGATACTGGCGGGGCCAGCAAAAGTCTCGACTCACCGTTAGATATGTTTTCTCTCGGCCACGATGTCCTCCTATAGGAGCATCGTGATACTTGAACATGATCCGCAAACGCAGATCAGTATCATCTGGAATGACAACACGTGGTGTGCCACCAGAAACGGCTATATAATACAGGAACCCGTTGCGAGTAGTGTATTGATCTGATGCAGATCGATACGCAGACGATAATCGTTTCAACGATTCTCGAGATGGCTGTGAGAGATGTGTCAACAACTCCACAATCTCACCATCTTGGGCGTATGCCCGCCTCACATCATCATACAACGTTGTAGATGGAACTGAGGACGTCATAACCGCAACAGTGACTGTCTCACTGTTGGGTTTCGCGACTGTTTCAAAGTCGGGACGACGTGAGAGTGCATCAGCGACGACATTAAGTCGTCCTGGTTTGTACTCGACCGTAAAGTTGTATTCTGCAAAGAATGACAACCACCGCGCCATTCGTTGTGAAAGGTGCGGGCTGTTCACTGCCGTGCGTAATGACGCATGGTCAGTGTAAACAACGAAGGGTCTATCTCCTAATAGATAGACTCTGAACTTCGCGAGTGCATACTTCATGGCAAGGAGTTCCTTGTCATGCACTGGATAGTTCTGCTCAGCTGGTTACAGCTGACGCGACTGATAGCAGACGACGCGTTCAACGCCTTCAAGATCGTACTGCATTAATGCACAGCCGATTGCGAAATCGCTGGCATCACAGACCACATGGAATGGCCTGTCCTGATCGGCAATTGCTAGGACTGGGGATTGTATCAAGCTCTGCTTGATACCATCAAAGGAGCGCTGACATTCAGCGTTCCATAACCACCTCTCGTTCTTTTTCAACAAACGAGAGAGGTGCACAGTCATCTCGGCGTAATTGCGTGAATACTTGTGCAAATGCGCCGCTAGCCCAAGGAATTTTCGAAGGCCTTTGACATCAACTGGCACAGGCCAGTCGGTGATCGCCTTGATCTTTTCGGGGTCAGGACGTACACCGTTCTTACCAACGATGCACCCAAGAAGTGGTATTTCGCTTGCTGCAAATATACACTTCTTGAGGTTTGCATACAATTGATGCTTTCGCATGATTGTAAGGACCTGTCGGACGTGGTATCTGTGAACCTCAACGTCCGACTTTCCATCCATAGCCCGACTATGGATGAATACGTCATCAAAATAACTCGGCGCGAATTCTCGTACTGGTCTCAACAGATGTGATACACATCTGTCGAACGTGGAAGGGGCATTACTAAGCCCTTGTGGCATTACTAGCCATTCCCAGAGCATGCCGCTTGCGGTATAGGGTATATCCCATTCTCGCATAAGGATTTGATAGAAGCCATCCATCAAATCCATGGACGAAAAGATGGTACTCTTTGACATGCCATCAATGATTACGTCCTTCCTCGGTATCGGCGTCTGATCCGGTACCATTGTAGCATTCAACTTGTTAAATGCATGCACTATCCGCCACCTTCCTGTTTCTTTTCGCACACAGAAGGTCGGAGAGCTATGCGGGGAAGTTGATTCCCTCACATGGCCCGCAGCTAAACGATCGGCAAAGAACTTGTCGATCGCAAGCACTTGTTCACGAGGCAGTGGCCACTGCTTCATGACACAGTACTTCGAGCCTGGTTTAAGCTCGACCTCGTGTCGAGTACCTTCATCCTTCGGTAACTCGCACGGAACAGTTTCAGGGAATACATCCTTGAATTCAACCAAATTTTTATAGAGAGGATTTGTCTTGAGCGATTCCCACGATTGGGATTCATATCGCTCAACCCGTGTCTTTTCATCGAGGACGCTCTCGTCCATCGATGAACTACTGAGAACTCTCTCGTTCTCAGTAAACATTGTTGCTGACCTTATGTCGGCTACATACTCGTCGTCAGCGACGAGTACGCATATCTGCTTGACTTTGCCACTACTAAGATCACGCAAGAACCTTTCATGTTCGAGCGTTGGCAACTGAGTGATCTCCGAAGTCAACTTCGGAGGCGCAATCAGATCAAGTGTATAAGCGCTTACACTTGATCCGTCATTGAGTAGGACATTCAATGTCTCTGTCATTTCCTGGGGACTTATTCCCTCAGGCCTCGAAGGACGTATTCCTTCGGCTTCCCGGGGACTTACTCCCTCGGGGTTCGGGGAACTTATTTCCGCCGTATTTGTAATATCGGGACTTATTCCCTTAATTTCCTCTAGCTCTGGTTGCGCAACCACAGCGAGATCCTCTACGAAAAACTCTCCAGTCGATCTAGGATTATCGTTTCGCTTAACCTGAGCGATCGATTGTTTCTCTTCTAGATGTTCCCCTCTAGGGATACATCTTTGTCCCGGTCCACTCGACTTATTCGAGTGGTGGACCTTCGGCGCAGCCTGTGTTTTCTCACAGCCGCCGGAACTTTGCTCCGAAGTGTAACTGTTTGTTACACTAAGGTTTTGTGCAGTCGTACTAACGACCGTACCGCAAGTGGGGCTATCGCACTCACTCGTAGTACATCCACACGCTTGTGGACGCTCCAAAACGTTCATCAGATGGCCATATGATGAACAAGCGGCAGGCATCGTTACTGTCCGATGTTGCCAGTTTACCCGTGGTTCGTACCTTCTGAGCCACGGTATTCCAAGGATGACATCAAATTTGTCATCCAAATCCAATACGATAAAGTCATCGTCATATTGGGTATCTTCTAGCGTATAGTGGATCTTCACTATACGCTTCGTGACGGTTACGGATGCGCCTGTCGCAAGACGTACCGTCATCCTAGTAGGAGGTGTGTCACATTCAACAAACTTGAAGTGACCATCTGCTAGCGATTGGCGTCGCACAAAATTGTTGGACGCCCCACAATCGACTAGAGTTCGAAGGGACAACTTATTTGTCACTTCGAGTTTCAACGTAATGAGTGAGATCTCATTACCTAGAGCAGCAACGCACAACGTTTGTGTGTTGGGAGCAACCTTCATCAAGAGGCCTACAAATTCTCTTGACGTTGATGGACCAGTAGGGTTCTCCGCACCTACTGATCCTGTCCGTTTTTTGACGGTCCATCCCGTTGTTGCGTCTTTGCACCAACAGCGGACCCGCGTCCCTGCCCCTTTCTCATGGGTGGACGGTCACTACGCCCAGTGTTGCGAGACACTGGACGAGGGGCACTACACTCGTAAGCGTAGTGTCCTGTCTTTTGACATCTGTTGCATTTCTGCAACTTCCTGTAGTCTGTATAGCGAGCCTTCTCGCTCTCTACATAACAGAGTTCCATCGGCTCTGGACCTCCGTTGTCATACCGTCTCGGTTGACGATATGATGTCGAGCTGGCGCGAGCCTGTCTCAGACTGAAATCTTCCTGTTCCGCAATGGAAATGGCTTGTTCTAGTGAATCGAGCTCAAGTCGGAACAGGTGAGTCTTGGCGGGACCATCCGCAAGACCCTGCATGAACACCGAAACCAACGTGTGTTCATCAACCGGATTGGAACTTATACAACTCGTGAGATGTCGTATATGTTGCGCGTAAGCGTGCACATCACGCTTACCCTGCTTGAGCTTCAAGAGTTCGGTTCGAGCTCTGAACTCAGCTCTAGGCGGTTCAAACGTTTGTATGAGCCGCGACTTGAAGACTTCTAACGACCCAAACGCATATGGGTCGTGCAACTTGAGTCCCAAAGCCCAAGTCTTGTCACGTCCTGCCAGATTTGACTGGGCAAAGGATACTTGCATTGCCCATCGTCGATGCGACGCACCCTTATGGCGTCATCCAATTCGACAAACTATCTCAAGAGGGAGTCCTATTGGACTCCCCTATACTTAGAGATGTCACTCTTCAAGATCTCCGGTCGACCCGAGTGCATCGACCCACCAGCAGCCTGCTGCTGTCTCAACAGTTCAAACTGTTGAACACCCTGTTCTCTCAACAACTCTGCTTGTTGGGAACCTTGTTGGTGAAGCAAGGCTACTTTCTCGCGTTCAGCGTCAAGTTCATTTTGAATGAACTTGGCGATAGTAGCACGTTGGGCGTCTCTATTGAGAGCCCCTAGCATGACGCTAACAGCATGGATGCCCATGGTCGAACCCATTCGTTCAACCGCATCCCATTCGACATCGCTCAAATGGGAGTAGCCGTCACGCGTAGCGTGAAAGCTTTGGTCATCTTCATCATCCAACATATTCATGTTAGATGTGGACGTGGTCCTTGGACGGACTACGAAGTGCTACCAGGTGTAACGGGGCACCCTGGAGCTCGTACTGGTGACAGTACAAGCTACTTATTCTGATGACAGAATAAGGCGTGCCTCGGAATTTCACATACACTCGTACGTGCAGAGGAAGACGGTAAGAAGAAGCGAGTACTTGGTTAAAGTAAAAAGTAGAACTGTATTTACCATAGTTAATGTCTGTTGATGAACCACTATTTATCCTCATCTAACTATGTCTAAATACAAATGTGTAAATCAGTTATCTGCTCACCACTCATTGCGTGCGTCTGTCGTGGCGCGTCTTCGTTGGTTGATATAATGGCCTATATCAACCAATTAGGAACTACTCGTAAGTGCTGCAGAATATTTGTCCTTATGACAATCTTCTGAGAATATAACTCTTTTAGTTATATTCTATCAACAATTTCTAATAAATTGTTATCTAACGATTTACCCCGTTACAAGCAGGATAAAAACGAAACAAATTACCCGCATCGTAGAGCAGGGATGCAAAAGAGTAAACACTGCTGAAATTGTTACTCTGATCACTATCGAACACAACGACAAGTCTGAGAATGTATTTTGATACCCGAAGCAACTTCATTCTCAGACAGGTTCCATGTTGTTGTTCCGCGGGGTAACTGAGAACTGCTTCGGTAGATAAAATAGTTACTATCACATGCACCAGTACAAGCGGCAAGGCACGTAAGCGCACCTGCTACAGAAGCATCACCTTTTCTCCAAGGTCACTGCAGATCGCAAGCACGATACTGATCTAACACTGGCTGAAGCTATGATCTACATCATCCACCGAGGCAAGTTACATAGAGGGCAATGTCAGTTAATTGCACCTAATTAGTCAGCTACATTTCATACCATATACGCGTAGACTGCACAGCAGTACTGGGGAGGGCATTGTCATCAAGTTTGGGCTCGTCAGTAGATGAGCTGTGAACGACGTGACCCGAGCTACACATCCGCTTGTCGTTCCAAGTCTCTCGTATGTCTCAGCTGCAGCAGCAATAGCGCGTCGAAGCGGCCGCGCAGCTCAAGCAGGCGGAGAAAGCCCTGACCAGGCGCTCGTACTTCTGTGGCTCGCCCGACTACCTCTCAGCTGCGCCGCTGCTGGACAAAGTGGGGGAGCTCTTTCGACTCGGGAATGACTGGGAAGCTCGTGAAGACGCGTTTCGGCGCTTTGCAGACGCGCAACAGCACAATCAAGTGCCGTTCTGGCCGCGCAGGCATGGGAAAATGTAGCTAAGACGGTCTTGCTGCAGGTACAAGCGGAGGGGTCCAGTCGGACGATGTCCAGCCAGAAGTCACGGACAGGGGAAGCTCGTCTGGCTTTCGAGAAGGCTGGTGGCTTTTACGTGGTCATGGGAGAGTTTGGGAAAGCTGCTGATGCACTGGTTAAGGGAGCACAGGTATGTGAGAGTCAGGGGTCTAGTGTGGACGACGTGCTGCCGCTTTACACACACGCGTGCGAGCTCCTCGAGGCTCAAGACAAGTCCCACTTTGCAGTCAAAACGTTTAGCAACCTGCAGAGTTTACTCGTGAAGTATGAGCAACACCTCGTCGCGATTGCGTTGCCATACCGTGTGATGGTGTTGAATGAAGCTATGGACCAGCGCCACAATGTGCACAGGTGCCGGTTGAGCCAAGTCATTCTTCACCTGGCACCGAAGGGCGTACAAGCAGATGGTGCTCTGTATTCAAAGTGCTTGCAAGATGACGCGCTCTTGTCGTCGATGGTTGTGTCTTTGCAGAAGACTTCGTGTTGGCCTCCGAAGCGTGCAACGAAGACCTACTGCGAGCAACGGTACGGAAGCCGGGATTTCTTGCACTGGACAACTAAATTGGACGCGTTAGTCGTAAATAATCGATCTACGGGTTGGGAGATGCTGCGGCTGGTGGTGCTCAGCCGCAAGCTCGGCACCAGCACGGGACAGCTCCGTCGTCGAGTGGGAAACGCACGCAAGAGCGACAGCAGTCAGGCAAGCAACAGCAGTCAGGCAAGCGACGCAACCCGTTTGCACCTTCTGCAAGAGCTCCTTGTGCAGAATGGAATTTGTTTACATCTACTTCAAGAGCTCCAGCACAAGCACCAGTGTCTTCACTCACGTCGGAGTACAGTCGTCCGGGGCGCCGACAACAGCGAGCACGTTTGCCGACAGCGATTACGAAGCTGCTGCGCTGTCCGAAGCCCTTGGCACTGTTGCTGTTACAAAACAGGCCAAGACTTGTTCACGATTGGCTTCGGTTTCCAAGTGTGTGCAACCCGTGTCGCCAGGGCCAGTTGGCCTGTCCTTATCATCGGGCTATCACCGATCATGGCTTCATCGTCGTCGCCTGCAGCAGCGCGTGCAAGCGCTTGCATGGATTACGGATATGACGACTTGAAGTATGGCATGCCGGATTCCGACTTGCTCGAGTTTTCCATGGATGAGCCGACCGGGGTTGATGTAGGTGAGAGGTCGGATTCTTTAAGAACGCCTACAGCACCGGCATCCAAGACTAGGGTGCCAGTGCAAGAACTTAGACCGACGCTGAAGGCACCCGCGCACGATGAATTTGATCTCACATAAAGCAACGAAGGTCATGGCTCGGAGCCAACCGGGTTGCGATGTGTTTTTGTATTCAGCCGAGTTTGGTTGTAGTGTGCAGTCACGTTTGACACAAACCAAAGAAAATGTTCGCCAGGGACTTGCTGAGCTTGTGCACCACTAGACGTTCTAGTATCTCGCCCTGACTAGTGTCTCCTTTCTACCAAGGCCTATGACGTTATCCTATCTGATGCTTGTAACATCTTCACATTCGCATGCTCGGTACACCATCGAGTGGTCGCATGAAGTTTGTCACTACATCATTCACTCGTAAGACGTCAGTGAACATTGACTCGCTAAAGTTCAGCTTGGCCCCAACTATTTCCTTCACAAGCAGAAGCCTGGAGAGCTCTACACTTCGACCTCAATTGCAACGTCATGCTTTTTCGATTGCAGCGAACCGGCTCAAAGTAGCTTCGACTCTTTCTAGTGACGCAATGTGAATGCCACACACTCGTAACACATATGCGCCTTATTGGTGGGCGGGGCTAGTCCGTACCTCGAATTTTGCTATTCCGTACTGCAAACGCCGTCAAACGTTTTGACGAACAGCTCATTAGCTTGATAGTTAAATTTATTTGTATTATGCTATGCATACAAGGTCAGAGGTGCGGAGATCAAAGAGCTTCCATTGACTAGGTTTAGTTTCCTGCATGTCACCCTTTACACTAGCTTAAAACGACTCGAATAACGTAGCTGAGCACACCACATTCATTTTATATCGTCCTTTGGTTCATAATGCCGGCAAACGGTACAGGTAGTGCGCGCGCTACCTGGAGCATATTGTACAAGGCGACATTCCCGATTACACCGACCGCACTTTCGTCTACCCCTTCGTACTTCGTCACACACCGGATCTTCAGGACAGTTGCCGAACACGGGCGAGACGAGGATCGAGAGGGCATAGCGCTGTGGAGATACGTCATAGAGCCATCCGGGATGGCAGCATCAGGCGGGTTGAACTCAGCAAAGAGCAGGAACGTGACGTTTATGAGGACGCCTACAACGGCAACGACTTCGCCACTGGACAGCAAGTAGACGAGCAGCTGACCCAGGAGCGTCTGCATGAGCACGGAGAGGGAGTTGTTGAGCTAGTAGAGCACAGCCTTGTTGAAAGACCAGATGCCGAGGAGAGGGAAGAAGGCAATAGTGAAGAGGAGACTGCTGCCAAAGACGTACGAAACCTCGACGAACGTGATGCCGAGGATGAATTAGAGATTGTACGTCTGCGCGTTGCACTCGCGGTAGTAGACGGCTCGTTACCGCAGGCTGGAGGGTAGACAAGCAACGTACGTCACATATCCTTGCTATAGTGTTGTCATGAAATTAATACTCACGGCCAAATTCAGCCCTCGGTACAATGTGTAGTTGGCGTTGACGAGCACGAGGCCGAAGATGATAGCCAGGATGAACGCGAGCCAACACCAAGTCAAGATGTACGAGGGTAGTTGCCAGCACATTGACTGGAATCGCTGCAATATCAATCAAAGTTGCATCCAGGAAGTAGCAGCTCGCTTGTGCTGGAACACTAGCTTCGGTTGACTTTCGAGTGCAGACGTCGTCACACCAGGTTCAGCTAGACGAGTCAGCAATGCTTGGTGTTTTAGAGTCAGATTTGGACATTGGTCATCTTCCCGTTGGAGATATTGAACCCGTCCCTATGGCTCAGCACTGATTCCGGTCAATGGAAGCTCTTTAACCTCCGCACCTCTGACCTTCTATATAGCATACTACAAATAAATTAAATATTAAGCTGATTAGATGTTCGTAAAAACGATTGACTGGGTTTGCAGTACGGAAAAGCAAAATCCAAAGCACGGGATAGCCTCGCCCAGAAAGAATCGCATTCGTTGCTGCCTTCTCTCATCACTGAAAGAGCGTGTCAGTCTTTTCCGTTCTGCCGTCATTCTACTGCATCAATCTATCTTTTAATTGGTAGAAATGTGACTGCTCATGTTGAAGACAAAATCCGGCGCCCACATTTGGCCAGTCGAAAACCTGTCAAGTCAAAGAAAGATGGTGCAAGTCACGTTGCTTTGTGCGATCGTTGGTATATCCAACAGCGTTTTCTTAGTAAAAATTGACACAGATAGATCAGTGGCTCACTTGAAGGATGCCATTAAGGCGAAGAACGCAGTGGATGTCCTGTGCGATGCTAGAGAGCTGCGGCTCTTCCTGGCGAAAAAAGATGGGGCGTGGCTGCGAGACGACGGTGATTTGTACAGACTGATTCAGACACAAGGAATCCTCGATGGGATGGAGGAGATGCGCGCGTCGTGGGAATTGTCAGATCCCAGTCTGTTTGGTACTGGCGTATTGCTAGGAAAGAAGATGGTCCACGTGCTGGTGGTGCGTCCGATGTAACGGGGCACCCTCTATTTATGGTGTTACAAAACTTCACTTAAATTTGTACGTGCAAGTGAAGCTAATCTAATCAAACAGCTAGGTTGAATGAAGGGTAAAAAGAGAACTGTACTTAATATAGATAAGCTATCAATATAACTTCAATCTTTATCGAACTATAGTAAACTACATTGTGTAATGACGACAACCTGCTCACCACTCATTACACGCGCCTAGCAGCGATTGGTGGTAATTAATAATTGATACGTCTTTTATTAACCATTCATTGAGCAGCGAAATAACATTATACTGAAAGGGGATAATATTCCTTCATTATTTTTCTAGAAGGGGTTAAAATATCTTGAATATTATCCATCTTGGATTAGATTGGTAGGATATTGTCATACTGGACATTATCCATATTGACACCGTTTGGTGTCAATTTCATGTAACGGGCTACCCCGTTACATCACCTTCCCTCCTTAACCATCAATCACCCGTTGATTAAATATAATTGATTGGGACAGGGTAACCACCGTTGGATCACTCTGGGAAAGGGAGCACTTGTTGGTAAAGTTCCATTCATTTGCCTATTCATCGCATGGGTTTTGAAACCCATGCGAGTTGCTACTGCAGAAGCAAGAAAAGCGGTTGCACGCATGCGTGCAGCCGAAAAGAGTTCTTCTCTTGTTTTTGCAGCTGGTGATCCTTCGCCTGATTTTTTGCGATTCAGCAACAGGTGGTGCCTATGGTGAATAGTTCACGTAAGGAGCCACACTTGCGAGGATTTCATCGACTGCTTCTGCAGAGGGTGCTGCTTCTCGCAATGTGGATGAGTCTGAAATAGAGCTCATCCTTTCTGGCGATTAAATTGATGTATCCAACTCGAAGGCGATACCTCACGCATTTAGATCATCCGGGGCGGACACTGCAAGAGCCAGGTTGACTGGATCCGGTGAACGTGGCGGTATCATGTCCGAGATCTTTGGACCGAGTGATTATTCCGACGAATCCTCGCCTTACGTAAGTCCATGTGACAATATGATGCGTACAGATGGTGGTGATGCACCTATGCATCACCACGAGTGAAGTAACTCGAGGGATCGAGCTGACACTGGTGTTAAAGCTCATTCTGACCATAATGAAGAGGCCAGGGACCGAAATGTCCAACGCCACGCTACTCAAGTGAAGTCTCCTTGGATGATGGCATCCAAATAAGTACATCGATGAGCCGGCATGACCACCGAAAGGGATCGAAATCCGTTGTTCGAGTGTAGGAGGATCAGTTCTTCAAATTTCAGCAAGGAAACTATCCGTGCTAAGGAAGAATTCTTCACCGATGCATCTTTTAAACACCATTGGTACAATGTCAGTCTTTTTAGGGTTGGAATTTTAGGCCTTTGTGCAAGGATGGAATGCCCTCATCCATAACATCGAGTGCATTGGCCGTGAGGCCTGGCTCGGTAAACTTGATGCAGCTCGCATCAGGTTTGAAAAACGTGACCCAGCCAGTGTACGATACAAGTTGCACCGACTGCCAAGAGAGGCAGGATTACCCTGTCTTTCGTGGGGTGACCCGTGTCTAAGTTGCATAGACAACTCAAATCATGCCTATAGGAAGGCCTAGGTCTCTAAGGTTCCCTACTGGAGGGCGCGCATCTCTTCTGAGATGGCTGATGGGATTGTGACTGAGCAATCCCTGTACTCGCGTTCGGGGACGTCGTTTTCCGACGGCCCTTCTTCGAACGCAGCGGGTGGGTCTCGTCTTACTGCTCGAAGAGACCCAGGACATCAACAGTCAGCTAGGCACGAGGCTCCCATCTGTCCCAGGCCGGTGGATAGACACTCCAGCGGACGAGGTAAATCGTCTGGACGCCATTTACGTCGCTGTGGCTCAAAATGCGCTCCACCAGAAAGCGTTGACCACAGCCTGAGTCCACTAAAGGATGTGGTGGCGGTGGGAACACCTGACCCGGCTCGAGGGTCGGATCAGCTTGATGTTCAGGAGCTGAACCGTCTAACGGATCAGTTACAAGATGACCTGGCTCATGAACGGACTCGAAGTTGTAAGCTTTATGATCTTACAAAGAATAATTACAATTCCTTAACGCACGATCGTCCGAACGACCGTGCCACATTTGCGCTCGCGTAACTTGAGAACGAAAGTTCGGTTAATTCTCTTCGTGACGAGCTGACTGCATCTCGTCAGGACATCGCTCAACTGCGTGAACGGGTCGCTTCGCTAGTTGACCAGACTGGCTTGTTGAAACAGGACTACTCGAAGGTGGTTTCGGCCCTTGACCACGTAGGTGTTCTTCGCCTCTCGAAGCGGGCTCGTACTGATAGTACGGGCGGAGACGTCCAACGTAAAACGTAGGATGAGTACGCATCTTACGAGGCAGTTCAATCGTGTATGCGTTGCTCATTTGGCGCAACACACGAAATGGACCGATAGACTTGAGCAGTAATTTACTGCTGCCCACGTTTGTCATTGCGTGTTTCGGTAGATTTACTGTAGACAGTAAAACTAAGTCTCCTTCATCAAATGAAAGAACATTTGCTCTTACATGTTTGTCTGCGTTTTTTTTCTATCTGTCTATTGCATCTGAGATAGAGTCTTGAACGAAGCGGAAAACCGCTTCGCAAGTCAGCAGATTCCTTTGCTGATTCATCTTGTCAACAACAGTGCGCTTCGTGTGCACTGATGAAAGAACGTTGTCTTCACCATTGAGGGCGTCTTCGTTCTCACTTTGGCAGTCATTCGCGATCCTGAATGTGGCAGCATCGTCGTCATCATCATCATTATCGATGGCGATTGCACCGACATCGGCATCCATCATGTCGGCATCAATGTCGACGGGTGATGAGCAAGAACTAGATCGGTATGTGTTCGAGCGAGTCCCCCCCCTTAAACTAGAGTCACACTCTAGGAAGGCGAATAAACGTGGATGGAGTAGGCCATTCACGAAGAACGGCGTATGCGTTGTCGACGCATGCACCGAGTTATTAATGTCGTATTCAGCCATCGGCACGAACTCACTCCAACTCGTAACCGAGTGGACACACCCTCGAAGTATCTCTTCGAGGAAGAGGTTGACGCGTTCCGTCTGACCATCCGCTTCTTAATGGTTCAAAGTCGACATTTTCAAACGTGTTCCAAGTGAACGGAACACGGATTGCCAGAAATCCGCCGTAAAGCGGAGGTCCCTAACGGGCACGAGCTCACGGGTAAACCGTGAAGTCGGGAGACAGTATCGATGAAGACACGAGAACAGCCCTGGGCGGTAATTGACTCCGGTACAGCAGCAAGAAGTACCATCTTGCTGAACCGGTCAACAAACACAAGAATACTAGTATTCTTGAAAACGTATTTGGGAAACCCGAAGACAAATTCTATCGGTACGGACTGCCAGCACTCTGCCGAAATCGATAGAGGCTCCAAGGGTGCGCGAGATGAAGGACTAGGCTTCTTTCGCTGACAAAATTCGCAAGCGCGAATGTATTTGCGCACAAACTCATATTGGCGGGGCCAGTAGAAGTCACGACTCACCGTGAGGTAAGTCTTTTTCCAACCGTGATTCCCACTTGTTGGTGCATCGTGACACTCATACATGATGCGCAATCGCAAATCATTATGAGCTGGATTGACGACACGACGTGTGTCGCCGTTGACTGCTGTATAGCACATCAGTCCATCACGAACCGAATACCGTTCGGTTGAAGAGCGGTAATGAGACGACAAGCTTTTCAAAGCTTGACTGTATGGATTGGCTACTTAATAAATCAACCGCAGAAGAGACTCATGTTCTTCGTATGCTCTTCGCACGTCGTCGAGCAGATTCGACGATGAAATAGCCACTGTCAGTGTCGCGACAGTGGGATCACCCCTACTGTTGTGCTGAGCAGTCGGCTTGAAATGGGGCCGATGCGAAAGAGCATCAACGACGACATTCATTTGTTCTGGTTTACACTCTACGGAGAAGTTGTACTCCGCAAATAAAGACAGCCACCTCGTCATTCGTTGCGAGAGGTGTGGACTGATAACGGCCGTGCGTAATATGCATGGTCGGTATAACCGATGAAGGGCCTATCTCCTGAGCGATATACCCAAAACTTGGCCAGTGCATATTTCATGGCAAGGAGCTCCTTGTCATGTACCGGATAATTTCGCTCAGCTGCTTGCAGCTGACGCGATTGGTAACAGACGACGCGTTCAACGCCTTCTTAGTCGTACTGCATTAACGCGCAGCCGATTGCGAAATCGCTGGCGTCACATACTACGTGGAATGGTCTATCCTGGTCTGCAATCGCTAACACAGGCGATTTTGTCAAGCTTTTCTTGATGCCTTCGAAAGAGTGCTGACACTCAGCACTCCAAGAGCACCTCTCGTTTGTCTTAGCAGACGAGTGAGATGTACGGTCATCTCAGCGTAGTTGCGCGAGTACTTGGGTAAGTACGCCGCCAAGCCAAGGAACTTTCGAAGTCCCTTGACGTCGACTGGCACAGGCTAGTCGTTAATCGTCTTGATCTTTTCCGGATAAGGGCTTGCACCGTGTTTACCTACGATGCAACCAAGAAGTGGCATTTTGCTCGCTGCATATATACTTTTTGAGGTTCGCGAACAACTTATGCTCTTGCAATATAGTAAGAACCTTCTGGACGTTGATTCTATAAACCTCCACGTCCGTCTTTCTATCCGAAGACCGGCTATGGACGAAGACATCGTCAAGGTAACTCGGTGCAAAATCTCACACCGATAGCAAAAGATTTGTAACACATCTGTTGAACGTTGCCGGGGCGTTACTTAGCCCCTGTGGCATCACTAGCCCATACCAGAGCATACCACAGGTGGTGCTCACTGCTGTGTACGGGATGTCCCGTTCACGCATGAGGATCTGATAGAATCCATCCATCAGATTCATGGAAGAAAAGATGGTACTTTTTGCCATACCATCTATGACGTCCATCCTCGGTATCGGCGTTGGAGCCGGTACCGTTGCAGCGTACATTTTGTTAAATG